GATTAACAGCAATCAGTCCTTGCAACTGGAAAAACACTAAGTACAATTTTCTCTTGATTTAATAAGTACTTTTGTAATTTTCCAGTGACCTCTACTTTGATCTTTTCCAGCTTGTTAAATCACTGATTTCTTTTTTCCTCCTGCAACGCAAGAGAGTAGCGCACTTGAAGAAAAATAAAAAATCAACAAGTAATTATGAAGCACCTTCCAGAATGGCAGGCTATGTTTGAGAGGCCAGCCTTCTCTTCTCCCTATTTCTTCTGTCTGCTTCTGGTACAAAGGCTCTCGCCCTCTTAGAAGAGAACACCACAGTTCGTCCTGCCTAATCTTGTCCCCTCCCAGTTTGAAAAAGACCTCCCACTGTTTGGGGTTTCCTTAGTCAATGTGCTAAACCTGCTTTTAACCAGAGAAGCTTGAAAGCAGCTTTCTTCGCTGAGCCCTGACTGCAAAGCCACCAGCATCTGTGTGCATGTGAAAACTTGATAGTTTTCAGCCTTAAGTCTACTTGATTTAGACTCAGAAGTTCCTATTTTGAATGTACTTGGGCTCAGTTGCTATACCACTTTCATTGTGGAAACAAAGGCGAGGTTATGTAGAAAAAAAAATTACCAAAAAAACAAACTTATTGCCATTGAGTTAATTCTAATTTAGCATAGCAATTTAGGTTAGCTATAAAACAGGGAATATGAAATTTCCAAGTAGAAAGAAATCTGTGGATTGTCTGGCTTTTTGTTTGTTTTTGAAAGGATCTATAGTCAGCTTGGAGCTGTTCCATTCAATTCTTAAAACAACCCTGTGAGAGAACAGTATTGTGACACCGGTTTTAGAGCTAAAAGCCCGAGGCTCAATGGAGAAGGGGTTTAGCCTTGAGGCTGGTTAGTGATTGGTGCTGCTCTCTGGGAGACTTGCCTTCTGGGAGAGAGAGTGGGCTTCCCCTGGACTACATTCCCCTAGCAACTTCCTCCGAGAGGTAGGTCTCCCATGTGTAATTATCTTATTGAAAACGGTTTTCCTGAGGATAAGCGTGTCCCACGTGGAGAGTTCTCACCTTGGACCACAAATTGAGCTCATTTGGTATGGCAGCTGGGGAGGATGCACCTTGGATGCTTTAAGAAAGAATTTACCAAAAAAAGAATTTACCATTTAGCTACTAGGGTTGCAGTTCTTTCAGCTTCCTGTTGCCCAACTTTCCAGACCCACGTCCATTCTTCCTGGGCAGCCCACGGCTAATCACTGAGCAGGACAGGACAGGAGTAGCGGCTATTTCTCCCCAACAGTTTCCTTTGTCCCAGGGCTCCCTGTTGGCATGATAATGTTGCACTCTGAAGTTTCCCCTGTTCAATCTGGCTTCCTCCTTGCATCCCTCTCACAGGCACCCAAACAAACAACAAAAACCTGCTGTCCAGTTGATTCAAACTCATGGTGACTCTAAAGGGTAGAACAGAACTGCCTCATCGGATTTCCAAAACTCTGGTAGGCTACTGATAAGAAGCTGCAATGCGGGGAGCTCTGGTGGCCTAGTGGTAAGGAGCTGCAACTACAATCCCAGAGGCGCACGGTTCGAATCCACCAGATGCTCTGCCGGGGAAGGAGGGACAATCTCCTCCTTACCAGTCAGATCTGATTTGACGGTACACTCACACAAAAATAATAAAATTTAAAAAAAAAGAAGCTGCAATGCTGTCACTGTTGGTGGGAGTGTAAAATGGTGCAACCACTGTGGAAGGCGGTATGGCGCTTTCTCAAAAAGTTGCAAATAGAGATACCATTTGACCCAGCATTTCCACTACTGGGAATATATCCCAAAGAGACAGTAACTGACATCCAAGTATGTTTTTCACGGCTTTGTTCACAAAAGCAAGGAGTTGGAAATAACCCAGGTGCCCATCAACAAATGAATGGATAGAGAAGCTGTGGTATATTCATACAATGGAATACTAGGCTGTTGAAAAACAAGGAACTCATGCAATATTATTCAAAATGGTTGAGCCTGACGAACATTATGCTGAGTGAAATATCTCAGTCGCAAAAGGACAAATATTGCATGGTGCCACTGCTGTAAAATGGGACTGATATCAGGGTTGGGGTAAGACTGAGAAAAACTGGACAAATTGTGTATACTGCACTGAAACAGATGAGGGAGAGAATAATTTAAAAGCGATGTATGGTAGGGTATTATGGTTTTCACAAGAGTCTACAATGAAGGTTGCATAGTGGAATGTACTTGGGGCAGTGGGAGGGGTGCGGGGAGATTGTGTACCAGGGAGGGAGTGTTACTTTTCAAAGAGAGGAGTGAACTGGAGGAGGGAGGGAGGGCTGGGAGAGAAGTGCAGCAATGAATGAATGGAAATCCAAAATCTCTCTAAATGTTCGTTAAAATTATTAAAAAAGAAAGAAAGACGCTGCAATGCAATTCCAAAGGCACATGGCAAAGACAATTCCAAAGCTGCTCCATAGGAGAAGGATGGACAGTCTCCTCCCGTGTGATTTGCAGCATCTGAAAGCTCCCTGGAGGGCCAGCTATGACTCGGTTCCAACCTGATGCCACACAACAACAATAACAATCTTCACAGAAGCAGGCTGCCACATTTTCCTCCTACCCAGCACCTAGTAGGCCGACTTGTCAACTTTTTGGTTAACAGCCAAACTCTTAACCACTGTGTGTCACTTCTGTTTTCTGGAAGATCCAACAGACACACCTGGAATGTTTTAGAAACTACTGACGCACCCAAAGTTTAGATTGATTTGGTTTGGAGAGACAGCCTGAGCAGTGAGTGGCTGACGCGGAGGATCCTGGGAGAAGGGATTGTTGAAAGGCAGGAGTTCCTAGTATTTTAAGTTAGGAAACAACCTGTTTTCTCACAATTCATGGGGGCCTTAATAAAATATATCTGTAGTTTAAACTTAAATAAAATGAGACCACTCTTTTCCATCACACATGCCATTTGCCATTTTCTAACCCACTTCCTTCTTGCAATGTGTAAGAAACAATGGGTCTGAAGGAAGCTGTCCATTGTGAAAGGTTTGCCGCACCTATTAAACTTCTGGGATTCCCTGTGATGCTTTAGGGAGCTCTTTTGGCTTAATCTGTGGCGCGTCGTACTGCTGCCACCCCAAAGACTGTGCTTCTCTGGCAGTTCAATGTACCACCAGTTCCACGGGAGAAAGATGGACAGTCTCCTCCCCCGTGATTTATAAGCCTCCTAGAAAACCAGCTGGAGGGTCAGCTGAGTCAGTTCTGACTTGACAGCAAGGAGGTTTAGTTTGCTATTATTTTAGTATGTTGTCAGGTATCCAAAGCTGAAAATCTTTATGGGATGAAGCTGCCTGTCTCTCTCCCTTTAGAGAACTTGGTAGACTTAGGATTCTGACCTTTTGGGGAGCAGCTTGACACTACGACACAAGAGATCTTTATTTAACAAGCACTGTTATAATGTTTACTATGTGTTGGACACTGTTAAAGTGTTATTTGAATTATTAACTTCTTTCATTCTTCTAAAAACTTTGTCTAACCATCAAGGGTCGTATGAGCTTAGGAAGAGAAGAGCTCACAAAGCTCTAGGATGGTCTGGGATACTTTATGGAAAAGGAAGATTTGAACCGCTCTAGAGGGAGCTCTGGTGGCCTGGTGGTAAGCAGCTGTGCTGCAATCCTGAAGGCGCTTGGTTCGAGGCCACCAGCTGCTCCGTAGGAGAAGGATGGACAATCTTTTCCCATGCTATTAACTGCCTCTGAAAACCCACGTAAGGGTCAGCTATGGGTCATTTCCGACTCAATGGTCCACAACAGCAAAAGACAGAAATGAATAGTGTGTAACATTTTAGGTGTCTAACTGAAAGTTCATGGTTTGAAGCCACCAACTGCTGGGGAGTAGGGGGAAAGTGAGGGCAAGACGGGGGCAGTTTCCTCCCATAAAAATGCACATCTTAAGAAATTCCAAAAGAAAAAAGGAAATCCAGTGGATTGGAGTCACCTTGATGGTTGTGGGTTTAGACAGGAGAGAGTGGGGAGGGAATTCAAGAGTGCGCATGTGCAAAGAGGCAGAGAGAGGGATATTAATTACTCTTTGAGGAAACCGCAAGGGGCAAAAAGCCCACAGGCCTGGGGCTGGAGACCTGGTAACAGACTGCACTGAGCCACGAAAACCCAAATGTCAGGTGTTAGACTTTGATCTTTTTTGTCTCTTATGGTCTTAATAATGCATTTTAGTCAAAACCACTTGGGGACAGGGGGCAAATGACACATGCCTCAAAGAGTTAAAAATTACGAAATGTGATTCGGCATACAAAATACTAAGTAACTCCTCACATGGATGTGGCAAAACCCCCACATCCAATCCAGCCTCATAGGGGCTAGAATATCTCCTCGGATAATATCTCCAAAAGGCCATTCTCACGCTTCCTTTTCTTCCCTTCTTCAGGCTAAACATCCTCATATTTTTCTTCGTACAGCATGATCTCAAGAACTTGCTTCACTTTGTGCATCTTCTAATGCGGACCTGTCTGGAGATTTTACCTTTCCTAGAGTGGAGCCTGATCGTCCAGGTGAGGCCGGCCAGCTAAGAGGAAAGCTATGCTGTCATCGTCTTCATTCCAAATATTACTTTATTAATGAAACTGAGGCTCCTCTTTCCCCTTAAAAATTCATAATACATTGGTGATTCACATTCAACTCCATATTGGCTAAATAGATATCTTCACTCAGGTATATACTTGAATTTTATATCTGATTCCGAATAAATTAACAAAAATTGGCAGCAAAGGAAGTGATAGGGGCAGAGGGAATAAAGCAACTTTGAAACTGGACACTTTATAATAGCCAGAGAGAAAAAGTCTGAGGAGCATTGGTCTTACGCAGCCCTTGTTTCTGTCACTTTTTCTTGTCTTATCTATGGGAAATTGAGGAAATTAGTTTCCTACAAATATGAGTCATTGGGTGCTAACATCTCAGGTTCTTAGCATGAGATATGATACCACTGAACCCTTTTAATGATGGGCCCCTTTTCCTTTCCATCTCAGGAAGCCAAACATGACCAGAAAGTTCTTCACAAACACCCGGGAGCGGTGGAGGCAGCAGAACGTCAACAGTGCATTTGCCAAGCTGAGGAAGCTTATCCCCACTCACCCTCCAGACAAAAAGCTGAGCAAAAATGAAACTCTTCGTCTGGCCATGAGGTACATCAACTTCTTGGTCAAGGTCTTGGGGGAGCAAGGCCTGCAGCAAACAGGAGTGGCTGCTCAGGGAAACATCCTGGGACTCTTTCCTCAGGGACCCCACCTGCCAGTCCTGGAGGACAGGACTCTGCTGGATGACTGTCAGCTTCCTTCCCCTGGCCCAGCCCATCACATTGCATAACACGACTCAGCCTGCCATTGCTCTGGACAGCCGTTGTTCAGAAGTCACTGGCTCTGGACGACCGTTTTCTTGTTCCAGAGTCAAGCCATTGAATAATCTGTGAGGTATGAGTTTATGCTTCCCAGGAGGTGAGTCAGGGACGGCTGCAGGGTGTCTCAGGGAGGCCACGAGGAATGTTTGAACCCCCAGCCTCATCGGAACAACCTGCCTCCGTCTCCTTTATGTATCTGGGTTTGTAGCCTGAAAAAGATTCATGTGTTAAAAAAAGGCTTGAACACCACAGTTTTACACAATATGTCTTTAGTCAAAAGAAAGATGTTTTTCTCACAATGGATCTCAGGTAAATGAAGAAAATTCCTCGTCAGACTATTTTTTTTTGGTTAATTTTTTTTTTTAATGAGGCACAATTTGATCAAGGGTTAACAAAATCCATTTCAAGGTTGATGAATGAAAAGATAGTCCCTACAGACACTAACCAGGGAGACTTCTGAGAAAATCTGTGGAGAGGAGACCCGTTGGAAGGGCAAGGGTGAGAGGAACTTAGCAGGTATGTGCAAGGGAGTGCTGTGTCTTCTAAGCTTTGTACAAATCCGAGGTCTCATTTCAGTCATTTGTGCATATGTTATATCTAAAGCCAAATGGGGTATAATATCTCTAAAATGAAAGGACTTGATGATTTATGAATTAGAAATCCTAGTTTTGTGGAAAGATATCTGAAATAGGTTGGCTAGCCCTTTAGGTTCTTATTCAAGTTTTAAAACTTCTAGTCTCAATTCCTGTTGATTTAAGACATGTAAAAGTCAAGTATATCCTGCAAAACGAGGGAGCTCTGATGGCCTAGTGAATAAGGAGTTGTGCTGCTAACCCAAAGGCAAGTGGTTCAATCACCCAGCAGCTCCGAGGGAGAAAGATGAGCAGTCTCCTCGTGTTCCACTTACAGCCTCTGAAATCGCTATGGAGAGTTGGTTATCAGTCAGTTCTGACAAAAACAAAATGAAAATATAATTATGGAAATCCAAACATTATCTTTTAATGACTCTTTTAACCAAGAGAAAGCTTAAACAAAACATTTAACATTCACACACACACACACACACACACACACACCCCAGGCTTAAATGAATGAATGAATTTGTGATTTGCCTTACCTCCTATGGGCCTGAGCTCAGTCTTGAACTGTGACAGATACGACCCAACAAGTCCAAGTCCCTGATGTGACAAGGATCTATAGGGGAACTCACGCCCACGTCCACTACCATGATGACAGTGGGATTCAAAGATGAATCCATTGTTGAGCCAGACTATGAATAAATTCATTTGTTTAGCTTTGGAATATGTTCTGTTCCCAAAGTTCTTGACAATATTTTGGTTTTAGAAATTTCTGAACCACAGGTAGGAAGTTAATGGACTTAAGGTTAGGGAGTTCCAGTGTATGTACCTACAATAGAGGAATTTCAACGTCTTGCTATTCTAGAAAGAAGCTCTATTGTTTAGGGAAAGTTGAAATGAGCCTTGGTGACTTGTGATCCTATGAAAGCTGCATGGGCTTCTCACCATCTCATTCCCCCAAAACAATAAAGTCCTGCCATTTACTCATGCAGCTCAATGCATTCATCAGGGACAGTAAGTTTTCCTTCAAAGATTTTTATTTAAAATGTGATTTATAAACCTCCCTGAAGATTCAGCAGTGTTCTGGGAAACACATAAGCACCCACACTGGGGATTTTTCCCTAAATGTGTATCTCTCTAAAAAATTTTTGTGCACTCGAGTTTGTGGCAAAACCATTTCAGAGCTTTAAAGATAGATTCAATGACATTACTTTTACTCCACCATTAAAGAAAAACCACAACATTTTAGTCAATATTTTTTTATTAAGGTTTTTTTAAATAATTTTATTTTTATTATCTTGTGTGTGTGTACCGTCAAATTGGATCTGACTGGTACAGGAGGAGATTGTCCCTCCTTCTCCAGCAGAGCATCTGGTGGATTCAAACCACTAACCTCTGGGATTACAGTGCAGCTTCCTACCACCAGAGCTTGCCTTTATTAAGGTTTCTAGTGTTAAAAATACACATAGTAAAATGTATATACCAAGTTAACAATTTCTACATGAATAGTAGCATTGATTATGTTTTTCAAGTTGTGCAATTGTTCTTACCCTTTTTGCTAATCTATTCCTTCTGTATAGACATAAACTCATGGTTTCCCTAAGCATCCTATCTAACCTTCAAGTTGTTGTTATAAACTTGATCCCCTAGGGTAAGTTCCCTGTTCTTAGGTGTTACTGAGTCCAGATAGCTCATAGTGACCTTTGAACAGCAGAGCTGAACCATGACCTGTCATCCTCGTCTCCATTGTGATCAAATCCATTGTTACAATCACTGTGTCAGTCCATCTTGTTGAAGGTCTTCCTCTCTTTCTCTGACCCTCTACCTTTTCCAAACTGATTGCTCTTTTTCCAAGGATTGACTCCTTCCGACAACATGTCCAAAGTATGTAGGATAAAGTTCCCTATTAGATCATTTGAATATGGTACTGAGGAAGGCAGAGAAGACTTATTTGTATACAGAAATTTACTTAACTATTTGTGTTTTTTCAATCCATTTTGGTGAGGGTCTTCAGGATAGGACAGAGTTCACATCTGTTGTGCAAAGTTCTATTAGCCTTACTCAACTCGACAGCACATACCAACATTTGTGGTTTGGATCCACCAGCTGCTCTGAAGGAGAAATATGGGTGGTCTCTTCCTGTGTGATTTACAGCCTCTGAAAATCCCCTGGAGGGTCAGCTGTGAGTCAGTTCTGACTTGGTGGTACACACCAACAACATTCAGAAGAAGGGTGGAGTCTTGATGGTGTAGTCTATAGAGTTGTGCTGTTGTTAACTCAAAGGCTGTGGCTCTCTGGTGGTTCAAATCCATCCGTGAATCTGTTGGAGAAAGATGGGCAATCTCTTCCCATGCAATTTATAGCTTCTCAAACCTACTCGAGGGTTAGCTGTGACTCAGTTCTAACTCAGGAGCAATGAGTTGAATTTTAAGTGTACTTTAAAGTGTACTTTTCTGAATTGTTCTGTATGTGCAAAGAGAGCCTTTCTTTGTTTTGTTGTGTGTGTGTGTGTGTGTGTGTGTGTGTACCACCAAATGGGATCCGACTGGTACAGGAGGAGATTGCCCTCCTTCTCCAGCATATCATCTGGTGAATTCAAACTGAGTGCCTTTGGGATCGCAGTGCAGCTTCTTGCCACTAGGCCACAAGTTCTCCCTAAAAGAGGGCCTTTTCTAAAAGTGAGAAGATGGTGTTATCCTTTAACTACATGAGAAAGAAGGATAATTATCTAAAGAAGTCTTGCAGGAAATTCTTTGGGAGATGAATGAACCTTTAAATACTGCTTTATACCAAGCACCTCTTTAAGTGATTTCTTTTGAAAATTTGGATTTTTTAAGAAAATATTAAATTGTATTAAGGTGATGATCAAAAAGGAATGGTGGTTACATGTGGACCAAAACCTAAACAATATATCCATGAGACCAGAGCTGATTAAAAAATCACCTTATGGTCTTCCTTGCCATCTTGTACTCATGGTTGGTTACTATAGTAGTAAGAGTTTATCATTTAACCATTTTAGTTCCCTGGATGAGACATACATTTCTAGATCACGTAAACCCAACAGAAAATCTTATACATTTATGTAATTGATGCTATTCTGTTCCATAAACAAAAAGTGTGTGGTTTGTTTGGTATGGATACCACTGAAAATTTCCATAATTCATATAAAACAGATCCCTAGAATATCAGAACTAGAATATATGATTAATGCCACTTCCTCATTTTACAGAGGAGAGAATAAGCCCAAAGTGTTTTAAAATTACTTTCTTAAAGTCATGTGAATGACTAGTAGACACCTAGGCTGCAGGGCCGGGTCTCATAACTTCGTATCCACATTTTCAATAACCTCATTCAGCCACCAGCTATTTTAGGACTTAAAATGAGCAGACACCTTATTATTGTGTTCATGTCTTTTCTAGAGTGTTCAGTAATCTTTACAATCCTTTTCGCTGAAATGGAATCATAGTGCTTTGTACAATATAGTTAGATGTATCATTAACCAAAGATTTCATTAATTTATGTGTTTATGAATGTTTAATAATTGTTTTAATTGTTAATTTATTAAAAATAAAGTACTTGATAAAAGAATGTGTCCTTCATTTCTTTTTAAAATGAATGACTGGAGTTTACTAAGCACACCAACCTTTACTTCTGTCCCCAGAGCCGCTGGTGAGCTCGACTGCGTGTTTGTTCTGGAGAACATCCAGCATCTTTGGCTAGTCGCCTTCTTCCCTCTCCTGACTCCACTTTATCCTTCACGTAGCTTCCTCACTGTCGTTCCTGAATCCCAGCTTTGGTCAGATCACTTTGCTGCTACCAAAGCTTCAGTGTCTGTCAGGGCCTGGCTAACCTGCAAAGCAGGATAAGCAATGCATTGTAAAAACAGCAGGACCACTCATCTTGGCTTGACCATCCTTTCTTTTTTTTTTTACTCTTTATATCCTTTATTTAGTTCAGTCATATTAGAGATAGTGAGGAAGACCTGTGATAGAGCAAGGTTCATATCTGTTGTTCACAGGATCTTTATGAATCACAATCATCCTGATGATGTCTAACAATAATTTATTACAAACTTATTTGAGCCACTAAAAGAAGATCCATAGCATTATTTTTATAGGATGCATGTGTTCCATCATATGGAGATGTCACTGCTGTTGTTAGGTGCTGTTGCATTGCATACAACTCATAGTAATCCTAAGAACAACAGATCTGAACCCCATTCTATCCTGTGCCAACCTCACTATCTCTGACACACTTGAGCCCATTGCTGCCGTCAAGATGTCAATCCACTTGGTTGAAGGTCTTCCTCTCCTTCAGTATTCCTCCATCTTCCCAAGCACGATGTCCTCCCATCCTTGCCTCCAAGGAGCACTCTGGCTGCACCTTCTCCAAGACACATATGT